GCATCGGAAAATAGTCGAAATGTCGGAACCGATAAAGAAGTTTCTGATGCATATCGTGAACAAAACGGACAAACAGGTGGACGGAAACGGAATGGTTATAGTGTTTGACTGTTCGGGTGCCGGCTATTCCAATATGGACATGGATTTTCTCACATTTCTCATAACAGCCGGCAATTCGTATTTCCCGGTCGGACTCAAGTATATTCTTGTGTACGAACTCTCGTGGCTTTTGAACGCATTCCGACGGATAGCGATGTCTATAATACCGCAAACGTTTTTACCATTGATTAAGTTCGCCGACAAGAATGATATCACAAATTACATATCGATAGAGAATTTGCCCGACTTTATGGGCGGGACGTGTCAACGCAATTATAGACATACGCCCAACGGCTGCACCACTGTCTCAGAGTTGGCCATTAAAAACGGATACAATAAGGAAGACGTCGACCGCATTCTTCCCATCTTTGAGCCACTTCTCGCAGAAGCAGACAAAGCCATGGCTGAGAACCACTATTTGGATACTAATGACGGCAACATTGAAGAGATTCCCATTGAAAGTGATATATTGGATGAGACGTCTGAAACTGCAATCAATGAAAACTTAGTTCCTATTAATAAAACAAACTTAAAGCCAAATATATTGGGATTATTTCCCAACGATTTAATGCATTTCACACACGAAACTCATTCCCAAACATATCAGTCAAATATTCTGCTCCAGAATTTGTCCGAAACTGCGATCGCATACAAAATCCAATCAAATAAACCAAACAATTACAGCGTTTCGCCGCCATTGGGAATATTGATGGCCGGCGCGAGTCTTCGCTGTAATATTCGACTCATTGCTGACAAAAGGCATGAAATTCAAGACAAGTTCCTCATTCTTGTGCTTCCCATTAATGATCACAAACTGAATGCCAATCAATTCGCTCGACTCTGGAAAGACAATAAGGAGAGTATTATTTCACACAAATTATTAACAAATATAAGCGAGAAAAACAACAATTTAGGCAATGATGGGGTCAAAGGGGACCACGATTTGAAAGCGGAGTTGATTTGTTTGCGAGAATCTTATAAGCAATTGGAAAGGAGCCAAAGAAGACTGTGTCTCCTCCTCTGTGTGGCACTGATAGGGATATGTGTGGTGTTATGTTTGGTCATATATAGCCATTCCGATCCGCAATTCTTGAGTCTTCATTTGCAAACACTACGTAAGTCTGCGCCCAAACTCTTCATTGGCAGCGATCGTAACGCCAAGAACTAAGCATTACTTTATTTGTTTAGACAATAATTAATTTGTATAAATATTAGTAATTCTCATATTATTGTAATCTAAAGATTATTCTTTGTTTTATTTGTATTTTTGCAATACAAGGAATACAAATGTTATAATATATAATTGTTTGTAAATATCATACAATTTATAGCACAAAACACTAGATAAATCTTTTTATGTTTGTTAGCCATTAGAACATAGATAATTTTACCAAAAACTGGGTCCACATCTGCGTTAACAATACGCTCTCTGTTTGCCTTAAACTACAGGAAACTGTTGAGACTCTTATAGCGATAGATATCTGATATGACTTAAGAATATCTATTACTTGAGAATATGTTTTTTTAATGAAGAAAAAAGATTTTGTGCATTAATTTTTCGTTAATATCTGGTCCAAAGTTAAATCAATATATCGTTGGAATTGTTTTAAATATCTATAATTTTATACGAATTATAAAAAAATATATTTTTGAATCTAATATATTTATACATTAAACTGTTTTTTATTTTTAGAAAACTTTTTATGTAAAATTTGTATCAAAATAAAGTTATTATTTGACGAATTGAATGAATTTAAATGAAGCAAACTATAGGAAAATGGAGTAAATGTTGAAATATATAACACATCCGAAGAGATGGTCTTTTAAAGTAACTTCAAATGAATATCATTTGTCGAGTTTCTATATACTGTATTCAAGGTTAGGTAGGTTTGGCTCTTACAGATGTAGTCATCTATTTATATCCGCAAAACTCACCCAAAGTTAGTCATTCCCCACAAACAGAGTCTTCAATTACTTGTGGAACAGTTACGCAACGGTTAGACACTCCTTATTAAGCAATGAAAACATTGCAAAAGTTTGTTGGCTTTCAAGTGAATGAGAAGAGAGAATGAGAAGAGAGAGTGAGAAGAGACAAGAGAGGGAAATAAAGAGCAATACTCGGTCTCTAATTAGGAAATATTGGTTTTAATTAATATAATCGCTGTTATCATTACAGGTATCGATGAAATACAAAAACAATTACAGCAATCATACAATCAAATAGAGAGACAGAATCAGTTGAGTTGAATGCATAGACAGATCTTTTGAAATATAATAATAATTTTTTAAAGTTTTTCTTTTACTGTCAAAACATAAATGCAATTAAAATGGTGTTACAATTTGTCGGTACATTTAATTATATCATTTGATGACAATTAAAGTAAATATATTGATATAATAGTATTTAAAATGATAGATATTTTTATAGTTATTATCAGAGAGATTGTCATTAAGTATCTTAAAAGCATTTGCGGTGGACAATAGCGGGTCCGGCCTCGTCGTACTCCTGCTTCGAGATCCACATCTGTTGGAAAGTGGACAGAGAGGCGAGGATTGAACCTCCGATCCAGACTGAGTACTTGCGTTCGGGCGGTGCGATGATCTTGATCTTAATGGTGGCCGGGGCTAAGGCAGTGATCTCCTTCTGCATACGATCGGCAATACCAGGGTACATCGTGGTGCCACCAGACATGACAGTGTTGGCGAACAGGTCCTTACGGATATCGATGTCGCACTTCATGATCGAGTTGTATGTGGTCTCATGGATACCGCACGCCTCCATTCCCAAGAACGAGGGCTGGAACAGGGCTTCGGGAGCGCGGAAACGCTCGCCACCAATGGTGATGACCTGTCCGTCGGGCAATTCGTATGACTTTTCAAGACTGGAAGAGGTGGCGGCGGTCGCCATTTCGTTCTCAAAGTCGAGGGCAACGTAGCAGAGCTTCTCCTTAATGTCGCGCACGATCTCCCGCTCAGCGGTTGTCACGAAAGAGTAACCTCTTTCGGTGAGGATCTTCATCAGGTAATCGGTGAGATCCCGTCCGGCCATATCCAGACGCAGGATCGCGTGCGGCAGTGCGTAACCCTCATAGATGGGTACGGTATGTGACACACCATCTCCGGAGTCCAATACAATACCAGTGGTACGACCGGAAGCGTACAGCGAGAGTACGGCTTGGATGGCGACGTAAACGGCAGGGCTGTTGAAGGTCTCAAACATGATTTGAGTCATCTTTTCTCTGTTAGCTTTGGGGTTAAGGGGGGCTTCGGTGAGGAGGACTGGGCTCTCTTCGGGTGCGATACGGAGTTCGTTGTAGAAGGTGTGGTGCCAGATCTTCTCCATGTCATCCCAATTGGTGACAATACCATGCTCAATCGGGTACTTCAGGGTGAGGATACCTCTCTTGGACTGGGCCTCGTCGCCCACATACGAGTCTTTGTTACCCATTCCAACCATTACTCCCTGATGTCTCGGTCGGCCAACGATGGACGGGAAGACGGCTCGGGGCGCGTCGTCGCCGGCGAACCCGGCTTTACACATACCGGACCCGTTGTCCACCACTAAAGCGGTCACTTCATCGTCACACATATTGATTTGCTTTGGGGTTTAACTAAACTGTTAAGAAGTTAATGGTATGAAAAGGGCTAACACTGTTCTGAACGTCTCTGAGACACCGACACTGAGAACGATAGAAACACAACTGACTTTTAGATCCACGAGAGCTCCCGATTTTGGTCTCTCTTAACATATATTCCAAACACTCCAACAGTACTGATTGTGTGCGCCGGAGTCGACCATCCACTCCAACATTACTATTACCAAAAATGTCAATGAAAAGCACTGCTAGTTATTTAAGGATCAAAGGGTGTTCTCCGGATTCCTCCCCAATAGAGACACACTTTTAAAGCCATCGCTATTGGAATACAAGGAATGCATTACTCTATTCCTCAAACTTATGCCTCTATTTGTCCATCCATTCAATCCATCAAAAGGTCATTATCTCTGCTCTCAAAGCGTTCATATTTTTAACATTTATTCCTATTATTAACACAATTGCATATCAATTCTCAAACACAGAATCCAATTCTCTTTTTCCCAATTTTTAACCATATTTAACTATTCTTGGGTTTATATTATTATTCTGTATATTAAGCTTAGTTAGCTTAACTTAAACTAAACTAAAAGTTTTCAAGCAATTAATTCTCTAAAAAATGCATAAATAACTTATCATTTTGTTTTGTATTATGCATTTCTATTAAATCTTGTATTGTGTTTATTAAGAAATGCAATCTTAAAATAAATAAAAATTCAATGATATAGATATGCAATGAGACATAAAAATTGGGACCAAATATAAAGAATGTGTGGAAAACAAGATGAGAGGCCATAAGAACCTAATTAAGAAAAGGCAGAATTCTTGTCGCGTCTGACGTACGAGTGCTCTGACTCTCACTTTTAGTTATGAGTCTATGAGTAGTCGACGAAAATTCATTCATTCTATTCGTGTGTAAAGCCATACATCCCTCACATCCCATACATCGCATCACATCAGTCCCCATCCCATGCCTTAAATGGGTCTCAAAGCAAATATAGAGCTCTCTCTCTCTCTCTCTCTCTCTCTCTCTCTCTCTCTCGTACTCTCATTGAAAACTGTTTACTAAACCAGTGCTGAACAAACAATTAGTTCTTCTCTCGAATGGCTCGTCTTCTTAGGCAAAGAGTCGTGTCTTAACTCAAAATGGTTTCAATTTATTTAACAAATATTAAGTTCGCCTTTAATGCTACCATTCCTTACACTCACTGACAAAATGCCAAAACTATTATCTTTACGATAAATACATATATTCATCAATTAATTCAAAAGTTCGTTAACTTTTTCTCATATCAACTCATTTATCGATTTTTTTTGTATAAATAATCAGTTTTTATTATTTTAAAAAATACGGAATTGATTTCAACAATCATCGAGAAATACAGTACAATATAAAAATGATTATAAAAGTGCTTAAATGCAGTCAAAACCAAAGGCTAGTGATTGTGGTAGCAGGGATGCCGTGCGGGTCTACCAGTCCGGGACACCAAATCGTTTAATGATCTTCTGCTGATCGGTTAACTCTATTTTGATCTTTTTTCTCATGTAAAATATAGGACAATCACAGCTATAGGAACAACAAACACATTATACTATTGATAGAAATGGCAACACTATTAATGGGTATGAATGTGAGAATGCGGGCCAAACCTGGTGCAGATCACTTCCTCCATAAGACTTCCCTGACATCTCTGGCATTGTGTCCACAACTTATTAAACTTGATTTGCATGTCATTCAGTTTTTGTATCTCAATCTGATAGAGTTGGTCCTCATTGTCCACACAGTAGTCACAAGTGGCCAAACCTAACCAAACATACATTTTAAGTATTCATATGACAGCCGTTTTTTGGTGTCACTTACTGTCGTCTTTGAGGGGTGTTTTGCATTTAATACAAGTCTCACGTTTGCTGGTGAACCGGGAGAGTGCGCCCACCTTTGAAGTGACCACAGTCTTAGTGCGGGTGTGATCTCCGCCTAAAACAATTCATAATTGGTATCAAATCTATTGTTTTCGGTTATGTATAGAAAACTTACGCAAAAGAACGGATTCGGTCTTCTCCTTGAAAATAGGCTCAAATATTCTGATCAATGGTTTCGACAATTGATTCTCGAGATAGTATTGAGTGTCAATCGGAATACTGTTCTCCAATACATAGAGCGGATCCTCTGACTTCTGGTAAGCGGGCGTCCCTTTGGCCGCAGCGATGATCACAAACGGCACTCTATCGCCGAGTTTGGGAGCGGATCCGGCGTCGCGTTTGGCCATCCGTGAGGCGAGTTCCACGTGCGCCTGTTTGCTCGCGTAGTCGCCATCAGTTTTGGTCAACTCTTTGGTGATAATTAGGTTTGAAATGTCGACGCGATTGCAGAGTAAGTCAGAAATGGTTTGTTTGGCGAACTCGACCGCAGCGTTAGGGTTGCGATCGATGAGAATCTTCTGAAGACATTGAGTGATCATATTTGCGACTAATGGACAGTTGTCTCGACGAACGGTTTCGATGCCTTTGCAGTCCATTTTGTCGTGTTTATCGGGTTTAGTCCAATACAGACCGGCGTATCGTTTCTTATTGATGAGTAGATACGGGTAATACACTTTCTCGAACTCCAGTTTCACGGGATTCACAAACTTCTTCGTGATCTCAATGGCCGCCTGTTGTCCTAATTTCATGGCTTCGGCCACTGTTTCGACGCCGAAGTTAACCATAACTGAATCGGTGTCGCCGTATATAACCTGAGCGTCTTTGGGGTAACCTTTGGCCACAGTATACATCTCTTCGACACAATTTTTGGTCATATCGATCATCATTCGGCCGAAAGCGGTCACACTCTGCGAAATGTCAAGACAGGGAAGTTTGCCGACCTGTGCGCCGGTGAACCCATACACTGAATTGGCACTGATTTTCAGCGCCAATTGTCTTCCGTCCAACACTTTGCGTTTCAACGGATCCGTCTCTTTCTTCAGGTCTTCTTTAGCCTTCTTTCGGGCCGACAGTAAGTCCTCTAAGATCTCAGGCAAAAGACCTTTCCTTACGTCTGCTTTCACGAAATAACTTCCGGCCGGAGTTCGGATGTATTGACTTTCATTCAATTCGTTCAGTTTCTTGGGGTTAAGGAGTGATGTGTAGCACAGGTTGTGAGCCATCATAATAGAGGGGTATAGAGAGGCGAAGTCGAGGGTTGCGATGGGAACGCCGTAATAGCCTCTGACGGGTTCGATGACGAGAGCGCCGGTAAAGTCGTCGCCCTGATCTGGCTTTAGGGTCGGCATCAGAAGGTCCTGTTCTAACGCTTTGCGCAGTAACTGTGATATGACTTTAATTTGTTGACCTCTGGCCAGAAGGTAAGAGAGCGGAACTCCGGTCACTCTCGCCATTTCCATGTAGTTTATAATACACATCAATTTGTCCATCAGTTTCAATGGAAGCAAAGCGTCTTTCAGACAGTAAACGGCCAGACGTTTGCGCGTCTCTCGGGTGCCGTTCTGGAGATCAGTGATAATGGAGTGGTGAACGTCTTCTTTCTGTTCCTGAAGGAAGTGATAACTCACGGCATTCAGTGTATAAGACCTGAGCTTATAGTCGCGCAACAGGACTAAGAGGAGGTCGAACTGAACCCTTCCCTCAATGTTAATCACTTTGTTCTCTCGTTTTCCCATTTGTTTTGACTGAAGGATCACTTTTCGCACTTTTGTCTGGCATTTCTTGATGCGTCCCAAAAAGGCGAATGTATTACACTTGATATATTTGGCTCTATCGATAAGATAACCCAAATCAAAGTTCTGTATGTTATAGCCGGTCATGAGGTCGGGATCGCATTCGCGGACAAAGTCTGCCCACGCGTTCAGCAGCTTCTTCTCGTCGTCAAAACTCTTCACTTCGTGGCCGACAATCGGCGCGCAATCTTTTAACGTGAA